TGGTCGTAAATATGATCAAGAATCAAGAGTTGGTTCCATAAATAATCTCAAGTTTAAATGCACTTTAATTTACAGTATTAACCTCCACGTGTTCTACTGTTGTAAATCTTTGAGGTAAACTGTCAGCTAAGTTAACCGGCCGATTTTAGGTGGTGATAATTTACTCTATAGATTAGCGAGGAAACAAGACTGACCAGCTTCAATTCCAATGTGTAGGCTATAACCTTTATTTAGAATATAAACGAAGTTTATCCTAATATTAGCAGAATCTTTTTTAAAAAGATCAGATCCTATAACGTTGTATAGGTATTTCAACATAAAAATCTAGTTTTACGTTACAAAGTTAACTTTTATATAATATAATAGCCTAAATAAAGTACACTACGTTAAAATATTATCTATAGTATCTACCAAATCTACTAATATTTTATACATTTTCGTCTACACTCTAATCCGTTCCAGGCTTTTCCTAACTCACTTTTCGTTCCTCCAATCTCCATTTTGTTTACAGTCATTTCTGGTAACACGTAAGAATTTTCCAGCTAACTGAATGATAACTATCGTGTCAAACTCGTGTAACGAGTGTAATTATTCTTTAGATTAGTGGCAAGATTAAATTTGAATATACCATCATTAGAACAACAGTTTATTTTGCCATTAATGTTAACCGAATAGACTTAGTTTATATAAGTTCATAACAATGGATGAACTCGCCAAAACATCTTTATTTCCAAGTATGGTGGGTCAAGCCCATAATGGGTCCAGGTGATAAAGGATGGGCATATCCGGGACAAATTGCTCATGAAAAATTCTTGGGGTTTTATACCTTTAAAAGTACAATACAAGATTAAGGAACGTAAGACCTATTTGAAATATTATAGACATATTTCAGAGTTTTTGAGCATTGTAGCCTCAAAAACTAGTGTATCTCAGCATTTTTTTGAACTTTGGCCCCTTTCGAGTTTAATATTTTTATGTGGTCTCCCATAATAGTAGCTCATTCTGATAGATTTTTGCATTGCAGATGGCATTATTAATGTTAAATCATGTAATTTTTAACTTTCAAATTCGAAACGTATGTACAGTAGATGCTGTATTATTATATATTATTGTTGTTTTTTAAAACACTTAAGGTTACTTCCACACTCGATTTTACGCCAGTTTCAGAGGCGAACAAATGGTGACACTAAATTGAAGTTTCACGGTATATGCACTCTATTCATACACCTACATGCAAAACTACTTTAGTTTCATTTTTTAATTATGTTTAATATCAATATAATTTAAAAAATAAAATATTTTAAAAATTTAATTTAAAAGTTTTATAACTACAGGGTAAGGTTTTATATTTTATAGCGGAAGGTTTGTTGGTTTAATTAAAACATTGCCAGAGCATGCCAATAAGTCTAAGGAAGTTGCTAAATGTAAGAAGTTTTAGTGATAGAAGGGCATCTAGGCGGCACTTCCGGAATCTCGACAACACGCGCGCTTTGAAAGTTAATCTAGGTGTTGCTGTCTTTAGTTTACAAGATTTCTAACGTCATTTCAGTTCTAGATTAATTTCCTAACATTTTATAGCTTTGTTAAGAGTAATTTAATTATTAAGGTTTAAAAAGTTATATATTGTTGTGTGAATCATTTTTTTCGAAGTTTACATTTGATATTTTGTTGTGTATTGTCGTAATGGCAAAGTTTGGAAAACATCGACAATTTTCTTGGCAAAATGTATTTCGAGAAATTTTTTTCAGTTTTTAGTATCGGAATATACTGAATTTAATTTTGACAAGAGAATTTCATCAGTTTGTATGTTTGCCATAGAGTTTTGTATGCAATCTGCAGATGCAGATTGTATACAAAACGAATGTGATGAAATTATCGAAAGGAACGTGATTCTGTTTCTTTTCGATGTCATAAATACAAGACGAACAGTTCGTCATTTGAAGTAATTTTTAGACGTAAATTTTGGAAAAATTTCTTGAGGAACTACTTTTTTGCCTATTTGTCATCTAATTTGCATAGAATGTACAGTACAATGCATTGAGCGGCACTTTTTTGGCTGTGGGCGTACAGTAAGGTTTATCCAGGAGTGGGACGTGTTTTAGTTTGGAAAGAGTCAGATATTGTACCTTCAGCACTGAAAATAAGTACCAATAAATCTGAAAATGTCAAGAGGAATGTAGACGTATGTATTAAGAATGCGATGGAAAAGGATGAAGTTACGAAAGAATCATCCGAACCACGTTTTTTATCGAATAAATCGGAGAAAAGGAATTAGAAACACATCAACGGTAAGCGAAAGACTTTTTTCTTTAAATGCCGTTGTAGTAAGTAGCTGCACCGGTCGCCATAGGGACTACCTAAGTGCAATTCTACCGTTTTAGCATTTAAACTTCATTTATTAACAAAAATTGTTTATATTTTTTTAAAATGTGTTGGGTAAATCTGAGATGTAGGGGAAGGTGGTGCAAGATGGGGCCATGGGGTACGACGGGGACGTCTGTTTATTCGTGGTTAACGCGCTTTCATCTAGCCGTTATTTGGGGAACTAAATATCAACCTCAAAAGGGATCACGGGACAAGAGAACGTCCGAATCGCTCTCTTTGTTTGGAAGTAAGACAGTTTTCCACGTTTCGGCAATACTTCGTCTAATTTTACGCCCGCTACAAAGTTTCTACAAAATAAATATCATTGTGAACTTTTACATTACCTTCTAGATGAAGATATTATGGTATACTAAGTAACCTTTAAGACTGAAATTGTTTAGTTTTGAAATAAAGTTGACCCGTGTTTGCAGTCAGTATGAAAAGTGCACGTTGGGGCAAGATGGTGGGGGCAAGACGGGGTACCCCATCTTGCCCAAGGTTGGCCACGAATTCTGCCGCTGGCTAGAGGCACCGCAATATAGTGCAGCGAACTAGTTTTAAATTCGTTGTCATTGATAATTCTAAATCATTTTTTCGAATATATAAAATAATAAGTTTAAAAATGATCTTTTTATAGAAAATGAAATATTCCACTTTTAAATCATATCTAACTAATAAATTTATACAGTATATACTCTATTACTTTATTATTTGTTTTTACGTTTTATTTTATTTGCGAAAACACTTTTTTAATTTAAATATTATCTTAACAAGAAATAAAATGTGAAATAACAATCGAAATAAAAATCTTTTTCCACGAAAAAAAATATCGTCTGCTTACAAAATAGCGAAACCGAGCATGCGCGAAGTAACGGTATCGTCTGGTAAAGTAAATACGAGTAAGTTCAAACTTTTATATTTATTTATTCGGAAAATAATAATAAATGTAGCCGCTGTGATAAATGGGCGCATTGTTCTTGTGCCAATATCGAAGAAAACGACAGTTTAACCATTTTAATTTGTTTTTCTTGTATATAAAAATAATAATCCCATCTTACCCCACGGGAGGGGCAAGATGGTGCATTTACGTATAATTTTAAAATATTAAATTTTCTTGTTTTTAAAAACGTTTTTCAAAAATTAAATATTGTATTATATATCACCATATGTTGTATTTGCCGAGAGTAAAAAAATTATTGTTCTCATTGAGGTGGTTGCCATCTTATGTCTTTTCAAACCTTAACGTCCTCATCCTGCCCCTATTAGGTAAAACACTTTTGGATTATTTTAAAAGCTTTCTGTATCAATTAGATAAGCTTTACGTGAACTTGCCTTGAAAACCTTAGATATATCTTGTTAAAAATTTATGTAAATTAATAAAAATAATTATATTATTATTATATTGATATAATTGTACAGTACTCTGAGGAGGGATTTTTGTTCCCGAAATGTACTCCTACGTGAAAACTTTTAATACTTGAAAATAATGGTTTTTTTTTACAAGTTTAACTGCTGTTATATTGAATCATGTCCATACGGTTAACAAGGCTAACTTTATTTCATAGGTAGTTATTCTTTAGTTTAAACGGTAACTAGTATACAATCTGATCTAAATGTTTGATTTTTTTAAAATGATTTTTAAAAGCATTTTATGCAAAGTAAGCAGCTTCAAAAATACTAAACATAAGATTACACTGAACTATCATCTAAAATTATTTCGTTTGTGTTTTACTTAGTTTTGGAAAATTATTGGAATTGAAAAATTTAGGCAACAAGTTTAGTTTTACTATTCAATGGCTCCAAAATAGTCTTTTTTTCCCTCTCCTTCCAAGTTTCTTCGAGGTCTTAAATTCATCAGAAAGATGAAACGCATTTTTGTAATTTCAGAATTTCAAATATTCTTTTGTTATTCTAATTAATATGCAAATGGAATCAGTGCAATAAAAAATAACGGCATATTAAAACATTCGTTTTTTTTTACTGCGGATTACATAGATTTTTCCCCAAACTTCCAGGAAAAAAATCATTACTTTGATAGTATTATACATTTGAAAATAATTGTTTTCAATTATAGAAAAATTATTTTAAACTCTCTTCGAATTATTAGAAAATTTAGTTCAAAATTTGAAAATGAAATGCTATCTTATAAATTCCATTACTTAATCTATATATACAATCGAGACGAGTTGATATAAGTGCAGAGCCCAAACGGTTAGAAGTTGAAAGTTGAAATTTGATACACAGTTAGGGTACGTTACGAGAACGCACACTAAGAAGGGATTTTTCGAAATTTCTCCCCACGGGGGAGAGAACAGGATTAAGGCTTAACACTTCCATCAACAATGGAAGTGTTAAGAGAAAGCGACGTGCAAGACGCAGATGAAGTTTTTTCGTTTTTGCGGGAAATCGAACATATTTTTAGAACCATCTAAAAATTTTCTAATCAGTCCGGAAACAGGGGACCCAATTCTTGCATTCTGTGAAAACGGGTAAGGTTGACTATAACGTAATAATGTTAATCTTCCCTATCGTTACTTTTGCCCGAAGAACGCCGGGCCTACCTGCTAGTAATTTTATATTTGATTATTAGATATAAAACAATGGTATTAATGTTAATTTAGGTGTATTGTCATCAATTTTTTTACTTTCTTACTAAGCGTAACAATGACACAAATAAGACTTTTGAAACAACGTTTAATTTCATGGAGATAAACGATAATTAAAACTAAAATAGATAAAATATAATTCATTTTTTTACTATTTAGTTTGTTTCAAGTATGACTGAATTTTTCTGCCAATACTAAGATTGCCGACCCTCTTAATCCATTAAATTAAATAGAAAAAAAAAATACAATTAAAATTAAATCGAGAGAAAATGTATCGTATTATGCATCTATTTGTATACGGTATTTAAGTATACTGTATTTCCTGGATTAAATCTCGTGGGAGTATTTTTAAAACGTGCAGTACATGCATCCTCCGGAATTTTGGAGGTTGATATTTATTACCTTGTAAAGGTATTACCCACTCGTCTCAGTGGGTAATACTTTAAAAAATATCTATCTTAAATACTTGTACATTTTTGGAACCATAAAAACAGCTTATTGACTGTATTTATAGGTTACAGCTATAACATTTAAAATAATTGGTTTTTTTATAGTTAACCCGATTAGGTTACGTGTCTGTTTCGATGACGTGGTTCTAGTTCAAGCTCACCGTCTGTAGTTATCGGCTAATCAAGGATAATTAGAAAACTAAGTTCTCTACTTATGACGTCGATCGTGACTTTCCACGCTCAATATTCGACAAAATTTATAATTTTATTTCAAAAAATGCTCCTGTAAACATTAGAGTAGAAAGTGCTGTTCCACTGTAGACAATCTGAAGACGTAGAATTTAGGTTAAATTTATTACCTGTCACTCTGAACTACATTATCCTGTACGTTGCAATAATTCAACATGTTTTCCATAGTTTTCAACCCGGGTTATTTTTAACAGCAGCTTTATTCCCCGGATTTTATAGGAGATCAGAGTTTAATCGAGGAAATACTGTATATAATTAAATGATATATTTGAAGACTTACCTTGAATGCGGATCGACATAAGAAATTCTCTTTAACTGGCAACAATCTAAATGATTTCATTCAAATATTTAATTAAAAGAAAAATTATTTGAGAGTAGTAACAATAACAACTTACTTTGCCATTTCGCTTAATTGTAATTTACCGTCTTTGTTGCTGTCGAAGATGTTTAGCTGAGAATAAAATAATTATTTAAATAAATATCCCTCGTAAATATATTTTTCGAATGGGAATATCGAAAAATAACATCTTCTAGCAATATAATATCGTGAATATTGTACAATATGTCACTACGAATGTGAGATATTTAAAGATGTTTTTAGAATTAGCATATAAATTCGATTATCTTTTATAAACAGAATATATATTGTTAGTTCTAAAATTCTGAATTTAATTTTAATAAAATTTATTCATTGTATTCAGTAAAAGATTTTATTAATAAAAATAAATTATATTTTGTAGATGTAAAGATTCAGTTGTTACAATTTTCATATATTTTTTCCTCTTGTAAAATTAGAGTTTTTGCTATTTTAAATATATTATTTAAGAATTTCTTATAATAGAAAATTAATAATTTTTTCGAAATATATATAACACATTTTTAACAAAAAACACTTTTCTAAGACGGCTCATTTATATTAATTTGCCTTTTCTAGAGATAAACAAAGTAATTTCGTTGAAATCACTTATACATTTATCATAAGAAAATGAAAATTCTTATTTAGTTTTTAATTAAATACACAAATGTATTTTAATTAAATTTTATTTTTTAATTTTTAGATAAGTTAATATTGACTTTAATGATTATGAATAATTTCATTATTAATAAATACAAATTTCGAAATAATTTAATTTTATTAAAAATTAATTAGAATATTTAAATTGATAATTTTGTTTGTTTTTTATTAAATGCTAAATGTTAATCAAAGATTAAAAATCAATTTATTTAGTAAAAATATTTTTAATTAACTTGCGTATTAATAAATTAATCTTAAACATATATTTAATTATATTAACTCTTTAATAAATTATATTATACGCATTTGGAAGTATTCAATATTCTAAATTTAGGTTTACTTAAACAAGATTAAATCAGGGTTTTACCTAATTATGTTCTGACCCTGATTTAAATCGACAGACAAATGGGTAAAGCATCAGCCTATTATTTTTGGGGTTTCTGGATCGAATCCATGGGGTTGAAATACACTCGAAATGTTTTATGGACGGTCTTTCTCGGATATTTCAGAGCCCTGTCCCTCAATTCCTGACCTATCCTATTCTGGGCCTGGCCAAATCCACGATGAGTATGAAAAACTTGCCTTATTGTACCCACAGGGAGGAGATTTTGAAAAAATCCTAACTAGAATCCTGAAGAATAATGAATTATTCTTCTAATACAGTGTTTTTTCAACCTTTTGGTCGCGACCCCCATGGGGTCGCGAGTAAAAGAAAAAGACAAGTGTTTGTAGGTGCTACACTACATTAAAAAAACTACAATTTCAACGAGAATTACGGCCCACACCAGGAAATGATAGCCGGAAAAAGTGTCGAGCTGATTTGCAAAAAGAAATAAAAAGTGTAAAATTAGAAGCTGAAAATTCTGATCCCTAAAAAGAAAAAAAAGGTCAACAGCTCCCCATGCCCAACGTTATAATTAAAGGAAGTTTCATACTGCATGTGTGTTAGGTTATTGTCGATTCTTCTGAAATTTTCACTTTAATCAACAATAATTTGTCTCAACAGAAAGAAAATTAAATATACAGTTTTTAAAAACACTAATATAGTTTTAATATGGCCCTAGGGGGTCGCCAGAATTTTTTAACTTGTAAAGGGGTCGCGTATTCAAGAAGGTTGAAAAACACTGTTCTAATAGATTATTATAAAAGGAAAAATAATCATCCTCAGAGTAGAATAACATAAATGCCAAAAAGTAATACTGTGTATTTATTTTTATTGATGGTTAGATATGAATTCATCAACACCAATACAATTTGATGAATTCTATTCAACTATTTTATACAGTATATTCGTGTGTGTGTATTATAGAACAATTATATAAATTTAATTGATCTAAATAAAAATCAAAAATAATTTATAAGATTTTTAAAAATGTCCTTTTTGTTTTGAATTTATATTTAGGCTATATAAGAATTAAGCATTAAATAATTCTATTATAAGCTGATGCATAGTCATAATTTCATACAATATAAAAGCTAAAACAGTTTCACATTATTTTCCTCTCTCATTTTTCTGTCACTTTCTTATATAAAATTAATATTTCATTGAATTTACACTAAGTAGATATTTTCCTATTAGTAAATGATAGTTTAATATTTATACTTAATTCGACAGAAAATTCGATTTTTATTTCTTTTAATAATTATACCCAAGAGTTATTTTGATCAATATCGAATGGGCATTATCGACTGTAGAGAGATCGAAAAAACGTTTTAGAAAAAATAAAATTCTCAGTTTACTCCTAAATAATATATAATATATAGAGCCATATCCAACCTAAAAGGTTATTGAAAACTTGATACTAACCAAAGTATCCGTGTATTCGATCAATTTGTCTTCTTCGATGCTTTCTTTTTTCGCTTCCTTCAATAAATCTTTCAAGAAGTTCTGAAAGGAGACATTTTATTTACCTTTTTTTTCTATACATATTATTAATCTGAAAGTATTATTTTTGTAATATATTCACGGATTTTACCTTCAATTCATCCGCCTCGATGAACCCGCTTCCGTCGGTGTCGTATTCTCGCCATATCTAAATAAAATTGTTTGATTTAAGACATTTGAGCGAAAATATATTGAATATAAGAATTACAAGACGTTTGATTCTTCTTTACAAAATATATTTCAGATATACTGCATCCATATTTAATAATATTGATTCATCCTACGAGTTTTTTTATGTATTAAAAAATATGAAATTTTAAACTAAAAATCTTTGCGTATAGAAAATTAAATTATAATACGTGTTTTTGATAAAAATTATTATTTCAATGTAAAATTTTTAAAAGTAAGTAATGGTTACTATTACAAGGAAGTAAAGATTAAAAACATACAAAATACATTTTAAAAATCCAACAACGAGTTGATTAACATTCCCGGCAAAATTTAAAATTTTGATGGTGCCATCTGTTAGGCTATATTTTAAAAACTTTTATATTTTTAATTATTATATTAATAAAATGGCAAAGTTTAATTTTGAAGGTAGGGATGAGTTTTATAAAAAATTGTAAATGCTAATAATGAGTGAAATCATTAAGTCCGACATACGACCTCCTCTATCGCCCCACCCCATCGACCTTTAATCACTAAAATTTAATAATATAATCTCCCTAATATATAAACTTCCCTGCAAAATTCTCCCTAATATATAAACTTCTCCCTAGCTGTCAATCTCCCTAATATATAAACTTCCCTGCAAAATTTCAGAAATTTTCGTCAAAAAGCATAGGAGTTATTACGCTTCAAATTGGGTAAAGAAAATCGTGCCTCCCCACACAGAAAAATCCTCGAATTTTTTTGCATTTCTCAACGTTTTAAGGTTCCGAGTCCAAAAAATGTAAATAATAGAGGGGATCATTTTTTGACCGATCGCTATACTTTCTCTCTGTTATACAGTATATAACATAGTCGAGAAAGTAATAAATTGGCAAAAAGTATAAACAAAATTTTAAATCAAACTATAAAAAATGTAATAATGCAACTATAGTATGTTTCTTTTACTGGGACAAGAATGCAAATTTCCTTTCCGTATTTTTTTCAGAAACAATAAACTTGCAAAAAGAATTCAATGCATCGGGACTCTTACTTGTAAATATAGTTGTCATGGAAACATCGATGCATCCAGTTTCTTTATCATGGAGAATAAGGAAAAAAATTTGCCATATAAAAATATTGCAACAAGTACGATCAAACTATTCGTATCAATCAGTAAATTTCAACGAAATTTGCGATTTTCTTTATACACACAATCGTGTAATTCCAATCGTTTGCAACAATTGGAATTGTAATTGCATCTTAAATTGGTCTGTCTAACAATTTCGAGAAAATTGTTTCCAGTTTCGAAGTTGTTACTCTGTAGATTTAAATCTTTATTTTTAAAGAAAAGGTCTATAAAAGTCCAAACTAAGCTATTGAAACTTTATATTAAGTGCCTTTTTCTATCGATTCAGCATAAAATACGGCATTGTGCGTTGACAAGAATGTAAATAACGTCTAAAAGCAAAACCGTAAAAAGAATAAAAGATGAAAACTTAACTGTTTGGGCCTATGAAAATGTTATAATAAAAAATGTCAGTAATATCAAACGTTTTAAAATACCTTACAACATATATTTTGACTTCTATTTATGACTTAACACTTAGAATATTTCCTTTGCGAAATACTACGTACAAATATATTATTAAATAATTCTTGTAATTTATGTAAATTATTTTATATAAAAATAAGTTATATTAAATTCCAATTTTATATTTATATCTTAAAAACAGTTAAATAAATGCGGCATGTTTAAATATATAAATTTTATTGATATTTATTAGATAAATATTTGATTTTAGAATTTTATAATAATTAATTTTCTTACAATGAATTTTTTATTATTAGATTACATTATAACAGATGATATTATTTTTAATAATTGAATACTAAATTTATTCAATATTCATAATTAATATCAATTTAATAAAACAAAAATTTATTTATTCATCAATTTAAAGTTTCTTTCTTATAAAAATACATTTTTTCTTTAGGACAATAAAAAATTTCATAGATCATTAAACGTTTTATTCCTGTAATAATGAAGCATTTGAATTCATAATTGTTTTTCTTCAAGATTTACTGACACAAAAATTCATAAATTAAGTCCTTTTTAATTTTGAAAATAATAAAAAATAATAATAATAATAATAATTGAATTTATCCATAACTAATGGTTTCGAATCATTAACCGCGAAAACATTAAAGAAAAAATTCTGCAGATCAAACAAAATATTAATTTTGATCTGTAAGAAAGTCAATGAAACGGAGCACATTATACAGTAAAACCTGTCCAAAACGGAAACTAAATAGAAAGGAAACCTGTATAAACAGAAAAAAAATTCTTCGGAATTGAACGATTTTCTATGTTAAACGAATAATGTCGAGATTAAGGACAGACAGTGGAAATTTATAGGTTACAATTTTTTTAAATTGCAGTTGAAAAAGAACCTGTTTAAAGCGGAAAAATTCGGTACAATGCGATTCCGGTTTACACAGGTTTTACTGTTAAATAAAGTTAAATATAACCAATTTTTTTTCAAAAATATAATAAAATTTTAAAAGAACGAATTGTTTTTAAACAAAAATTTATAAAGGTAGAATATTTTATATGATTATTTAAATATGTATAGCGAAACAAAAGATATAGCTTTAATATAAAACTAGACTGTAAAAAAACTAAAACAAATAATATCTTGAAGGTAGATTCAGTCAATATACGTCATTTCTATATAAGAAGTGATTCTACTTCAGTATGAATTCTCCTGTGCATTGCAGAACGTTCAAAAGATGTTTCTCTCTCTTCTCAATAACGATATACTTTTAACAATCGAAAACGTAATTTAAAAATTTATTTCAGAATCTTTCTCTTTTATTTTAAATCATTCTTAAAAATAAGTAATTAAAAAAATATATTCTTTATAGTGAAATAACACACGTAATTTGGAGAAGAGAAATCGATAGACTAGAAATTTACGAATAACATTACCATTACAAACTGCATATAAGTAGAATAATATTGAAAGGGTCGACCTCGTTAAAAATCGGTAGCCTCCAGCTGTGGAGACATGAGCTTTTTCTTTAATATTCTTTTCCTGTTCTTCAGCTGAGTTTGAGTATGAGCTGCAGCTGAAAATATCTGTCAACAATGTCGTCTTCCAATCTATCCAGACCAGTGAGCTCTGTCGATTTGAGATTATCGAAACGTGCTCTCACTTTTGAAATTTTTGACGCTCTTTCAGTCAAAAATCCGATGTGTATCTTTGAAAAACTGTTTTTTTTTCTTTTTTTAATAATTTTGATTTTCGATAGAGATGCACCGTCCTTCAGTCGAGATCTTTCATCAATATCCCTTCTGAATAATTGACTGCTAAAGAATCTTTATCTCTTCAATACATCAAGTTTGACTTTAAATTCCCAAGCTTAGAATTAATGATTTGTGAAGACAAAATAGTTAAGTTTATCCAACGATTTTTTTAAGAATTAAAATTTTAGTTAGAAATTCAGTATGAATAACTCAATACACGCCGATAATTCGGAGAAAAAAATTAACTTAATTTTTATTTTAATGACATTTAAATTTAGAGTAAAATTAGCTTACGTTAAAATTCTAATTTTTTTAATTAAAAATTATATAATTATTTAAAGATGATATTGCAGNACATTATATATATAATTATTGACTATTTATTTTCAATTAAAAAAAAAATATATATATTATATACAGTTTAATATCGAAATTTTTCGAAAACGATATCCGTAGAACATTTACTACCAATCTCTTCTTATGACAAGAATGCTTTTCTTATATGCACGCCTCACGCGATTGTCTGTAATAGAGAACTATAAAACGTATTGTGATTATTTCGGTTTTATATTTGTTTTTAGTCGAAAACAATGCTTTTAGCTATAACTTTATAATTAAAGTATTTAGCTGTAACTATATTTTAATAAATGACTATCATTTTCTCACTGTCTTGTATTCAGATTGCATTCTTGCTCATCCTCAAAGAGCACTCGTACGTTATTCTCGTGATTTTGCATGTTTTCTAGTTAATGGTAATTAAATTTTTCCTCTACACTAAAGCGTGAAATTTTGTCTCCTCTTAATTACTAAAGAATTGTAATTTATTCCACATTTACTCGAATTTTATTTTCTATTCTGCATTCAACAGTTGTATTAATTTGTTTACAAAGAAATTCGATTTTTAGACACCAGGTTGACATTTTAATGAAGGAAACAAATCTAATTGAAAGAATTGGCACTATATCAAGTTGAATGTCTTAAAGAAACAAACTATTCTAATTGAAAATGGTAATTAAACGTTGATAGATGAGCTCTAATTCATGCTAAATTGCCGAAATAAAATAGACATTATACTATATTCTGTTACAAAAACAAATACTCAACTTGAATTAACCTTTTACACTATAATTTTTGATATAATATATAACTAAAACTTAATAAAATAACTAAAATTTTTAAATACCATCATGAAGTTAAGAAAAATTATCCAAATTTTCTTTTAAAAAAAGACGACGTTTTTTTAAAAATATTAACCTTAACCGAGGTAACATTTCAATCTTGATTTCTTTCCCGTATTTCTTTAAAGCAATTTGGAGAGATTTTGATATTTTAATCGATAAATTTAATCGTCCATAGAAATATTCAACTAAAAGTAAATGGCATTCTTTTGAGCCTTCAAACGAAAGAGATTTCAATCATTTGAACATTTTAAAATACGCTTATCAAAAGAAGATATATGGTGTAATAAATGTAACTAAAGAAAAACTTCAATCTAAGATTTCAGTAAAAAAAATAATCATTAAAATGAGTTCTACTTCAATTTATTCAGAGTAGAATCAAATGTAAGATAGATAGAAACCCATTTCATAATCATCTAAATTCCTTTTTACGATGATAGCTTTCCTGGAATAAGCTCAACATTTTGTTTTTGTTCTGTATAAATGCTTAAAATTTAACAGTTTTATTTGTAATGTTTTAAATTATATTTAAAGTTCACATTCGTAAATATTAAGTTTTATAACCATAGTTTAATTAGATTTATTTATATAAACTCCATTAACTTTGACGTGTAATAAAATATTTAGTAATTATTAAGACAAAAATGAAGCACTTGCGATTGATTTTCGTTAAATCACACGATATTGTCACCAACCTAATATATTTCTTGTAAATTAATTTTCATTACAAAAATTTCCGTTTATCACGTCATTTTTATAATTGTTAAATATAAAATTACAATGTAATTAATATACAACAAAATACAATGTAATTATTTTGACAAATGAGAAAAGAAATAAAGTTAAATAATAAATATAAGTAGCTCTGCATTACACATAAAACACAGTACATAAATTTAAACAGAATACCGAATTTAAACAGAAGCTTAAAAAATTTACAGCTTAGTTTTACAATTAAATTTATTATTTACTAGAGGGGAAACCCTTCTATGTTGTAAGTTAAAGCCACAACAAATCTAAATCCAGTCATGGTTTAAATGTTTTACAGAAGATTTGTTAGAGATATATTTGAGGCGGAGAGTTAGCGAAGCCTCTTCTATGTGGCTTATAGAATTGAGTTCGTTCTTATAATTTGATGGGCCGATTTTAATAAAATTTTGCTATTTTGATTAATTGCGATGAAGAATACAAAAATGTAATTAAAAAATTGGGATCTACGGCTTCGTTTCGAGATACAGTGGCGTCAAAATGGCGATATCCCAGTTCCCTGACGGAAAATTGGCGCAAAATCTAACAAAACTCAACTACAAAGCAATCGACGTCCATTGCTTTGTACTTAGATCGCCTCTTCATGGCGGCAAGTACAAGGATCTCCTCTATCTTTCAGGCTGCTCCTCAGTTCTATCGCGATACGACAAACTCGCGCGATATCCTAGTGTTAATTTAGCAATTATTTAAATATTAAAGTAAATGTATATCTACGTCTTTTATTGTGTAATTCTGTAACCAATTATTTTTAAATATTAATATCTGTAAAAAACTTTCATTGACGTTTTTAAAGATATTTATATGTTTAATAGTCTAACGAGACGTTCAGACGTTAGTTATTTGTAATATTAAATGAATACATTACTAATTTTCATGTAATTTAGAATAAATTAAAGAAGTGTCTACTTAAAAAGTTGGAATAAAAAATTAATTTTTATTATTGAACAAATTTTAAAATGCTGCATATTAAAGAAACGAAGTTCGTAATGAGAGAAAATGATGAAAATTTGTTATAAAAGAACTTATATAAGAAAATAAAATACTGTAGTTCATTGAAATAGCAGACAAAAGGACCAAAAAACAATTTCTTTTTGTATGGTTTACTGTTTCGTGTTCTCAAACACAATGCAGAAAAAATAAAGAAAAAACACAATTGGATAAATGGAAAACCAGGCAAAATAATTGGGATTATATCTGATTTAAAAAAACAGAGAGAGAAATTTAACTCGAATTTCTCCCCTATTCGATAGTCATTACATTTTACTTAATAGCAAATTGAAAGCAAAGTCATTATTGCTTTCATTAATAATAATAATAATAATGTTTTCACACGCAAGCGAAATTCAATCTTTCATTTGTATAAGCAAGTTTTAATTTATAAATTGTCATAAATCATTCACGTGATTTTAAAGTTTCTATCTAATTAAAAAAAATATTTAGATGACGAATTACAATTAATTCATTGTATCAGAAACAGCTGTCAACATTAATCTATCATTCTACAGAACAATTTAGTTTAATTTTGATTTACTTATTAAATGAGAATAAATAAAATTAAGTTCATTAAACAATTCCTAGATTATTCTCTCCAATAATTGAACTTGAGTAAATGAAACTACTGTTTTGATATGCATTGATTTTAATGCATTTAACTATGTTTTAATCATTGAAACTAATACATTAATTACATAAAATATAACCCTTACCTTCATAAATTCCACACTCGATTCAAGCGGGTTATCGAAACGAAATAGCAACAGAAAACTCTCTTCTAAAGGTAGAAGTTGTGCAAGCTGTTAGAGGAGAGAATTGTCAATTTTATTATTTTCAACTTTTATATAAATATTTACATTATAAATGAGCAATAAAAATTGTATTAATAACATTTTAGACACCTTTTATTACTTTATTTACAGTTCTACGCCTCGTAAAATTTACATGCTAATTAAATGATCAACTAAACAACCTGAATGACTGAAAAGGTTATGTTAATAGCATCTTTCATTCGGTTATATTAAGTTATAAATAACTCACTGGAAAATAATATCTAAAGTATGTCCTATGTACTTTTTTTTCTTCGTTAGATAATAAAAGCTATAAAACTTTAAACAAGTTTTTAAACCTGCTTTTTTAGAAATTATTCCTTGTAATTTTTATCTTCATAAATTCTATAATAGCTTTATATTAAATATTCAAAAGATATATATTTTTGAAAAAAAATAAATATTAAGCCATACATCATTTTCATAAAAATTAAATTCTGTTTTATGTAGAATAACTGAATAGCAGTATTACTGCACTAAATAATTTTTTTCTTTATATTTTTTTCAGCTAGATAAAATACCTGAGATGAAGGTATGATTTACAGCGTAAAAAATAGCTTTATCATTGTTTCTTCTTATAGGTTATATGCTTTTTACAGATAGGCTCCTTTCCAAAATTAAGATAAATTTAAAGTATTGCCATTTATTGAATGGTTATATATCAGAATGGGTTATATATCAAAGATATAATAAAAAGAAGTGCAAGTTTATATTACCTCTGGTCCTACATCAGCAGTGTTAACGCTCGATACAAATTCTTTGAGAAAATTATCCAATTCTCTGCCTTCTATATATCCATTACCTAAATAAATAAAAAAATAACATTTCTAAAATATTCTAAATTAAGAAATATTCCATTCATGTAAGTTACGGATAATATAATTTCATAAATTCAATTAAGTATATTATTAAGTACCTTTTAGAATAGCACAATATATATATAAAGAAAAATACCTTATTACGCTCGAGTTCTCAATATAAATATTTTATTTAAAATAGAAACCTGTAGCTAATAGTATTTAAATTTAATTAAACATGGACACTATATCTTAATTAAGGAAATTCATCGATCTATCTCTTAATAGATTGAATTGTTTTTTTTTTTCCTTTCTTTTCTTTCTGTTCTATTTTTGTTACGACTGAATAAAAGTCTCTTGTTAATTTATGTTAATATAAAACTTACTTATAATTGTTTTCAATCTGCATAAAAGTCTAATTACCGAGCTTAATTTAAAGTTCCAACTTTCGTGAGTGAAAATGATGATGATAATAAGCCATATGAAACCCTTCGTAGATGGTTTGTCTCTCTAACAAAATCTCTTTTGGTACAATATGACTAGTTGGTCATTAAAAGCGAAGTTAGAACTCGTTTCACAAAAGTTGTTTAATCTGCAAACCAATTAACACAACGCATTTCGAAAAGAATCATAAAACAAAATTTTTTTTATTTTAAAAGTATTTATTTTTTAGTTATGTCTCCAGAAATAAATTTTACATAAGGTTTAAATCATTTTTTAACTTGTCATAAATTAAACTATATTTTATAGAATAAAAGTGAAATTAATTATATTTTAAGAAGATAAAAAAGTGATTTTTAAAAATAACCAATCAAAGCAAAAATTGATTTAACAAAACCGCCTTTATCAATCAACTCTCTGATTAATTGGTTGATATGAATGTGCGTCACAATAAGTAAATAGCTCTAATTGGCTTAATGATTTTTTAATCTGTTTCAAATTGACCATTCAGCGTAAGAACTAATTAATATTTTTCCAACATTTTAAAACTATTTTACGCTGATTGGTTATTAAAATTTTTTTATTTTTATATTCGAATATTTAATTGGTTTACTGGTTTCAAATAGTTGCAAACTCAATTTAGTTTTTTTTTTAAACAAATCTAATTCGCTAATTAATAAAAGTTTAATTTTAATTAAATTATTTCGCAATTGATTTTAAATTTTCAGCAAATTAATAAATAATTATAATTACGATTAAACAATTTTATGACCAATTAAAATATCTTTAATTTAATTCATTTATAAATGAATTTTTAAATGTAATTATAATTAAAATAGTTTTATGATGGATTTAACGATTTTAATTGAGATTATATAATTTGTCAATTTAAAGTCAATTTAAAAATTAAAAATTATCAAGACATAATCAAAAAGGTTCATATATTGAATATTAATGAGATTCTTAATCGATGATAAAGAATAATTTTTTTTTTAATTTTTGAATATCAAGTTAAATTATAAAATATTCATTTTTATTATTTATTAATTGTTTAGACTATATATTAATTTTTAAAACCTCGGACAATATATTTACAAATTGTATGAACTTAAATTGTAGACAGTGCCACAAGACATTGCAGAATTACGAAAATTTCGGACAGGCCCTTATTTATAGCATTAGGAAGAATGGATTCATATTTGTAAATAGTTTAGACCTCATGGCACTTATTTCAGGCCCTATTTGCACATTTATAAATTTAAAGTCTATAAAAAATAGTACCAGAATAAAATTCTTAAAATATAAGGTTATAACATTGAAAAAATTAATTTTTTTTTATTCTTGCTTGGCTTAATATATGGTGATAACTAGAATATATTACTTTAATATATGCTTATACAGTTGACCCCCCTATAACACTTTTAATAATTCCATGTTATATGAATTCCATGTTGTACGAGTCACTTAGATTTTACAAATACGTGTGCCGTTCACAGCCCGGCTGACGTATTTGTAAAATCTAAGTGACTCGTATAACATGGAATTCATATAAAACGAAATAATCAACAGTGTTATAGGGAGGGGTCGACTGTATATAATTCTCATCTATTATTATTATTTTAATATTTATGATATGCCATTTAAAAAATTTTTTGCATTATTCGTTCTTAGATTATTTTGATTTATTCTATCGCATAAGCGAGTAAACATTCGAAAAGAAGAATAAAAAAAATTTTTAACGCTGTCGTTAATAAAAGACACTTTACTTGTTTAAACATCTGTACGAAAATTAATACTATTTATGAAAGGAAATGAAATAAAAAAAGCTGTTCTTTGGTCGAATGAATTTAGTTCTATAACAGAACATTTTTATCGTTTGCAAATAACGAATTGAATTTTCTTTTTGTAATTTCATAAAGGGAAAAAAAGTAGTAATGAAGAAGAAACAAGATATTTTATTGGATTGTTTCTCTGTTTTTCCTCGAGACATAATTAGTTTTGATGAAATTTAGACCCGATAAATACATTACCTGACAGAACAATAAATTGTGTGATATTATTTAAGATACTAGATAAAATTATTAACTATTCAAATAAGCTGATTTTTTAAATATATATATATAATTTTTTTATTTAAAATAAATAACCCTAATTTTAAAAAATCCCTGCTAAAATCTATTTTAATTTAAATTTATCAATTTTCAGTGTTAATAAAATTTATTAAAATATTCAAGAATATTTATATCGCTTTTAAATAATTATCTAAATAAATAAATTTATTATAAAATTTTAATTAAAATGAATAAATCATTAAATTTAAGAATTTAATAAGCTGTTTATCAGCCACTCTTCTAACTGTTTAAATTTTCTTCGCTGATTAATTTTAAACTTAGAACTTTCATCGCCCGTAATGAAAACAGGACTTATCTGTCATAATTTGTTTTCTATAATATAATAATAATTAAAATAAAACCGTAATTTAGATTAATCAATCATAAAATACAAAAATTTAGAAAACTATATGTTTCATTTATATAAGTTAATGATTTCAGTGGGATTATATGGAGAACGTTTATTTCTTTAATGCATCTACTCATTAGAGAAAGGTGCAGGAATCAATAAAGAAGGATTAGGCCAACTCTGTCCTAAGGATATTCGATGAGAAAATGGAAGAATGCATTCAAATAACCATCTTACAAAATAAATCTTTTTTTTTAATACAAAGCAATCTTTATTATAATTAGATTTATCAATCAATACAGAAAAGGGAAAAAAATTATTTAATTATTCCTAATTCAANATTCGAATAAAGTTCATAATTAATAATTCAATGAAATTTACTCATTAGAAAGAATTTATTAAGATAAATTCTAGAACATAATATAAAGAATTTTACTTTCCTTAATTACTAATCACTATTATGATTAAAATTATCTTTTAAATGTAGAAAATAACTCGAATAAAACAGTTTTTTAAATAAAATGTGTGCATGAATATTTTTTAAAAGCTGTAATTTCATTTATAAAATGCATTTCAATCCTGCTTAAGTACTGTAACTGTTCTAAGAAAATATCGATTAAACTTTTCTTAGACACGATATTATATGAAGAGGTAAAGAAGAATAAAAATAAGCAAAAAATTTAACAGAATGGTAACAATTTCCAATTATTTAAAACATTTAAATGATGTTATTTAAATCAATGTATTTTTTTCTTTTAATTCTTCATTTTCTTTGAAGCAATTATTTTATGCTTTAAAAATACACTACTACATCCAAAATTCTGAAGAATTAGACAAAATATTTTTTATAAAATTTACATATAACTCAAGGTAACTAACTATCCGTGTTGTTTTCTTACAATATAGAATATAAATTGTAAATATATATATATATATATATATATGGATGATCTTGTTATTTTTTGCCAAATCCAAATTTTAGAAAACATATCATCTGATATAGATTTTTGGATCGATATCCATCACTTAGATTTATTCTAGAAATTATTTTCAGATCTATCAGTTTATCTTAAATGTCGTAAAGCCGTTTAATTTTGTTGTTGTTCTTACAAAATAGTCATGTAACCTGACTTATTATCTTTAAATTCATTTTTTAAAAATATATGAATAATTTATATATTCTAATTCTATTTTATAAGCATTATAGTCTGAGAAAAATCGTGTTTTAAATTTTATATAGGCTACATATAATATAGAAAAATCAAATTAAAATTAATTTAAAATATATTTTTTAATATTATCCTATTAAATTATTTGACTTCCATTCTATTATGTATAAAACGGTATTTGCAATTTTGAAATCCGATACCGAACTTCTAACTCAAAAGTATTTTTAAAAATATAATATAAACATGAAAAAAATTAAAGTTAATTAACTCTAATGCATTAAATTTAATTAATAAATTATGTAAAATTTATATTAAAATATGCATTTGATTTTTAGTATGTAATCTAATTATGCACGAAATATTATTGTATAACTTTTAATTTATTTTAATAATTATCTAAATTTGCTTATTTAATAAAATTAAGTAGCTCACGTTCTTTTTACTCAATACCAAATTATGAAAAAATTTATCCAATTTTCCAAAAGTATTAGCGTAAAATTATTATTATTATATTCAAAATTAAGTATATAAGTATTAAAAGTTTGTATATAAATGTAAAAAATTAGTATATAAAATGAATATACTAACCTCTCGAATTTCGATTTTCCCATCTTTATTATCGTCGTAAGCTTCCATGAAACATTCCTTTAATTCTTCTAACATTGATTCTGAAACAACCTGAAAATAAAAACAAATTGAACCGACGAAAAATAATAATAAAAATATATTATTCGTTTCAAATATTTCACTTTTAAATCAATAAATATTGATTTTTGTGTGGATATTCGATCATATCTTTAAGGGTTGGCCTATAGTGCTTCCCATAAAATATGTAGTCTAATCCGCCCACAAAATATGATTTATTAGCATATTTTGCTCATATTTAAGATTAGTTTTCTACTGTAAAGAAGTCGTGAGTAAATTGAACACTTCATCAAAGTTTTCCTCTTGGATATTTATCAAAACTGATAAAAATTTTGAAAGTTTTAGATCCTAGATTTTAAAAATATTTTATAAATTTGAGAGTTAATTTTCGAGATGAATTTAACTGGTAAGGAAATAATACATTTTATTTATAAAATGTATACAAAATATTTTGAATTTATTGAGTTAATTCATATGAAAATAAGTGCTCATCATAATCCAAGACAACATTATACCACTCGATTGTAACCTGCATGATTAAGGAAAATTCAACTAAATAAAAATTATATAAAATTTGAAAAACATTAATAAAAAATATATATATTATATACAGTTTAATATCGAAATTTTTCGAAAACGATATCCGTAGAACATTTACTACCAATCTCTTCTTATGACAAGAATGCTTTTCTTATATGCACGCCTCACGCGATTGTCTGTAATAGAGAACTATAAAACGTATTGTGATTATTTCGGTTTTATATTTGTTTTTAGTCGAAAACAATGCTTTTAGCTATAACTTTATAATTAAAGTATTTAGCTGTAACTATATTTTAATAAATGACTATCATTTTCTCACTGTCTTGTATTCAGATTGCATTCTTGCTCATCCTCAAAGAGCACTCGTACGTTATTCTCGTGATTTTGCATGTTTTCTAGTTAATGGTAATTAAATTTTTCCTCTACACTAAAGCGTGAAATTTTGTCTCCTCTTAATTACTAAAGAATTGTAATTTATTCCACATTTACTCGAATTTTATTTTCTATTCTGCATTCAACAGTTGTATTAATTTGTTTACAAAGAAATTCGATTTTTANACAGTTGAACTATATAATTTTTTAGTACGAACAAATAGCTTCTATAAAGTGCATTTAAAAATTCATTAAACTCGTTTAATCGCATGATTTAACACAATTAATCATGCAATTTTATCATAAATTCCAAAAATTGTTTATTCCCTGAATATATTCGTTTCCATAATAAAAAATAATGCAAAAATACGATAAAATTTCATAATCTGAACTAAAAAAGATAATGCTAATTCAGTGATACTGTTGACAGTTTTACAAAAAGTTTAAGTTAAAAAATTTGAATTTAATTATTTTATTACTTTAGGGTTTATACATAAAAGTTCGTTTAATTTACTCGTAAGAAAAATTTAAATTATCTAAAGTATTAATAATTGAGGTTTTTTATTAAGGAGTTGAAACTAGCCATTTTGCATACGACCATTATGGCCTTCTCTATGAATCATCTACTTTAACTGAACGGTATTTAATCAGCTTTACTGTTACTGTTTATCTAGACAGTTTATACTCTACGAATTCGTTAAAAGTTGGGTTTATAAATTAAATTTCACTTTTTGAATTTCTTTGAAGATGATAATCAAATCCTGAAGATGTTAACATCCCAGAAAGATGAATTGTTCGAGTTTAAATTTGCCTAAATGAATCTCGATTTTAACCCGTGATAATACTTGTTTATATTTGATATTCGATTCAATAAACACGATTTAAATTTAAATTAATTATAATGTTAAAGTTGCGAATGTCTAATGAATAGTTAATTTAAGTTAATGAATGATAATATAAAGTGGCCATAGTTCATTGATGCCCTGAAGCGTAATGGCCCTGTTGATATTCCCGCTATCATCCCATAATTTACAATAAATAGTTTATCATAATGATAATTTTCATTAGTCTATATACAAATTAAGACACTTGTGTAAATGTTAGTTTGTTGATTCAAATAGTTTCTAGAGAAGTATTGAAACAACATTTAATTTATTAGGACTCCTATTCGTAGTATATAGATCAAGAGTAATCAAGTTTTATTGGTCAAGAAAAGACCTAAAATCTATAAATTTTAGAACTTTTTACGATTTAAAAATGTTATACGACATTTTCGCTGCAAAAAAAAAATAAAAAAAAAATTGAAATTAGCAGAGTTAAACCTATTGCAATATTCCTAAAGTTCGAGTCTTAATTAATGCATTGTTTAACCTTTAATATTTCAGTAGTTGTTGCCCTCTTGTTTAGGTTTTATACCAATTCGTGTACGTTAATACTTCGTTATTTGTTTGGTCATAAAGCTTTTCTTAATTAATCATTCATTATTCTTCTTAGAATTAAGTTTTATTTCAGAATTCTTAACTTTAATATTTTATTTAATCATAGATTTTTGTACTAGTTCTTTTAATTTAATACTTTACTATTTTTGTTTAGTGTTTCTCAATTATAACTCACGTTTATATATTTTCATTAGAGTTTATCGTTATTGTTCGCTGAATAGAAAAGTATTTGAAGCTATTTTACTCTATTTATAATGCATTTTGTTAGTCTAAACAGTTTATATTTTTGCAATGTTAAATATTTTAACAGCGTAATATATTATTTATTGGCCTATAGTATTATTTTCCAGCCATTTTTAGTTACCGCCTTTTAGCAGTCAGATCGTGACATTACTCAGAAATATAGTTTGTAATTCCTTCGTGTTCACGAATCATTAATTGAAACCATTGTTGTAGTGCAGATATTAAAGTCTAAATCTTTTATTTTAATAATTACGTTTAATTAAACTATTTTCTACCTACAAAATTCAAATTTCGTTTATCTGGCATAAAAATAAAGCTCTAAAATCAATAAATCTTTCATATCTCACCATCTGTTTGCTCTGTTTTATCTTAAACTTTAATTATTTAATTTTTTTTCCTGGAGAAATACCCCACAAATTTACTTTTAACTTGACAGAACATCAAGAAATAATAATTAAAATATTCAAAGATGCATGAGTTATTGATCGTAAATAGGCCTATATATTTAAATATTCAATTTAAGAGATATAACAGGTAAAATATTATTTTAAAATCCCCAAAGACATTTGCTTGATTTATAAAGAAGATGCGTGACTAGAATAGCGATTATAAAACAACAAAGAAAAATTATACATTTTCATTCTTAATCTTTCACGTATCTAGAAATGTTATCCTTCTTCGTAGAAAGAACAATACTAGTTACGATTTATTGTGCAAAGTTCAGTGTAATAATGGTAATGAATCATTCATATTCAAATACATTAATTGATGCTATTAATTTATTCAAACGTGCAAACAAAAACCTCTAATGAATATGCTCTAACTAATGGAATTCGTTCGAATTCCGTATTATTAAAAAAATTAATTATTCAACTCTATAAATATTAAAAAAACTATACTTTGTGATATTTGTTGCTTATCTTATCGTAGCATAGCACAGAATAATTTAGTATGGTATAAACTAGTAATGGCTAGAGAATACTTGAGGATGGTATAGTTTAAATAGGCCTTATATATTTATTAATAAAATATGTAGAAGTTCTAAACTAATTTTATGAATAGCATTTAGAAAGTAATGTTTAAAATAAAATAAATTTTATGAATTTTTCAACAAACCATAGTTATTTACGATGAAATAAAAATATCCAACGATGATCCAACGACAAATAATTACAGAAAACAGTCGTTAAACAGATTAACGAGGAATTTATCATGTAATAATCGTAGTTATGTCTTTACAACAGCCATAAGAGAATTGTTTATAGTTTCCTAAACACATCAACAATGAAATTTACCGTTTATACTACGAGCCAAACAACAGGTGCAAAGTTAGGAGTAGCCTAAATGTGGTAGTGTAGCTGCGCCGCTACGCTGCTAACAGCTAACTTGTCACAAACAGATGGCATTTCCCATTGTCTGCACAACGAACAGCGAGGAAAAAGCATTGATAATTTAGTAAAGATTGATAGAAAAAATGGTAAATGAATTTTCAACTATATATATTTAAAAAAGAGTATTAAATTCAGAAAACCTAGAAACGAGCCTACGAAACAATCGATCGAAACGTTTTATAATAATTTTTTTTTAAAAAAAAGTAATACAAGAAATTACATTCCTGAATAATTTCTGATCTCTAGACAAAGTTTTTTAAAGTTTTAATAATAATTCAGGAGGTCAGGAAACGAGTGCAAACATCTTTGCATTTGACACGAGTCGATATGGTAGAGGTGAAGACGTAGTTTATGTGCTATGGGTAATTTACTTGAAGAGATTCTAAGCACTTTTGTGGTTGGTAATGCAAGGATGGAAAGGTCTCTATCTTTTCCTACTTTACCACAACGAAAACTCCAGTACGGCATTATGATACTGCCTCTATCTACTACTACGTCGGAGTCGAATATTCAGCTCCAACAGATGAACACAATCGATCTTTTTAATATGCGTTACCTGTTTGTTATTCAAATATTTACATTACAATGCATCTGTAAGATTTACAAAATTGTAAAGATTAAATAAAGATGTAGATCTATTTTAAAAGTCTAAGGTTTCGATCTTATCTGTTTGGACTAAGTGGATTTTCCCCCTTCTTTACTAGAAAAGTATTGAAATTTCTTAATGGAAACAGATGTGATTTCGTGTGTCGAATTGAAAATTTTTAAGTTTTTCTAGATGTTTTGATTAATTACCATATCCAGTTCTATTTACTAAACTTTTAGAATTTTTAAACATTATTAATTTTTTTCAATTTGAAGTTAAGACGATGATGCTTCAGGTCTTCTTGAAGGGAATGAAGATCTTTTGTTTGGAATTTCTTATGCGAGTTTGTAAACAGTATCGATGTTATTTTCATACTATTTTAGCTCAAAATTAATATAATTAATATATTTAAATTTTTACCTAAAGTAGCATTAAAAATTTATCAACATTATTTAATTAATCGTAATTTTAATTCATATTAACTTTTAACAACGTTTTAACGCATTTACATGTTTGCATATTTTAACATATATTAACGATTTAATTCATTCGAAAAATCGATTAAGTTCTATTAAATCTATTATACTAAAAATTTTAAGAATAAAATTCGATTTTAAAACGAAATATATAAGTTAAAAGTTATAAAATTTCTTCATTTCGATCATTTTACCTTATTTTAAATTAACAATTTTTTAAAATAAAATTGTACAGTACAATACATTGTTTAATTTCTAGATTATATCCGTATAAATTTGTATAACATAAAATTGAAAAGTAATTCATTAAAATTTAGTCTATTCATTTAAGAAAATTAATCAAAATATTCAAATTTTTTTGAAATTTTTATATCTATTTTACTTAATAAATGTAGAAGAGAATAAAAAAATGTCAACAGGTTTTACAATTTGATAATTAAGTTTTATTAATGAAAAGATATTTTAATATA